TAATGGTGTCGGCAATGAGAGGCCGACATGAAAGAACCAAGCAACGGTCCTCATCCGCGCAGCGCGGGGACGAGGCCGGTCTTCAAATATGATAATCACGCCATGCCGAGAGGCCGGTCGTGATATGATGATGTCGGCAATGAGTGGCCGACCTGAAAATCAGGATGGTCTCACGGCCCTCGGCCGTGATGGTCTCCTCTAGGCCCTTGGCCTCTGAATGGTGGATGATCGTCTCACGGTCCCCCGCCGTGGCAGCCCACTCTAAACCCTCGGCCTCTAGGTGTTCTCTCCTAGGCCATCGGTCTCTGGGGTGGAGATGCTCGTCTCACGGTCCTCAGCCATGATGGTCTCCTCTTTAGCTGGCCCTGAACGTCTTCAAGACTCGGGCCGAGCGTCTTTTAATCATTTCGCTCGAGCGTGTCGAGTGATTTCAGCTGCGCAATAAGCATGGTAACGGGCCGCACGGCCTAACAATAAATATGCACACATAACCATCTGCATGGCTTTCTTTCTAACATCCGCGATTACCGGCCTATGGGTTATCGTGACCCTCGGCCCGGCTCATCGTGGGGTTAATGGACGTAGTAGCTCGCGGCGGGGCCAACTAGCAGCCCACCGAACGTCACATAGAAATATTCACCGGTCTGTGAGTTTTCAAACTCAGACCCAAGTTGGTCGCACTGCCCTCGGAAAAACGAGGCTGAGCGCTTTGGTGCCTTTGGGCCCCACAGGCCGCGTCTGGCAATAGTCACTTCGCGCCTAATGGCGTAGATGATACTGGGGTACGATCGTCGATCGGGCAAGTAGTGCCGTGCGGACTAACGTGCAACCCTCAAATTAAAATGCGTCGTCGGGGCATCGCCCTTTTGGAGACGCTCAGACCGCTTAATCAAGCTGATCGAGAGTGGGCCATCGGGGCCACAAGAAATTAAATACTTAATAAAATGTTAGCTGAGCTAACCATCACTTGAGCCTCGCTCAGCATTATTTAATTCGGGACATTTTATCCCTAATAAATAATAGTGATATAACACGCAATAACAATGATATTATCCTATCAAAGGCCATTCAGGTATACTCCGTTCGCTAATTAAAGCCGATCAGGAGCGGGCCCACAGGCTCACAACAACCAGTCGTTAATTAAAATGACGGTGAAATTAATTATCACTGGAGCCTTACTCATCCGAGGTTTGCTCGACATTATTTAATTTCGGGTATTGACTCCCTATTAAATAATGGTGACAAAAACAATAGCACACTAAGCACCCAAAATTCCAATTAATACGTCAATTAGTAAATGAGGGGTACGTATGATACTTAGCTTTTGGAATCAAAAGCTTCTGCCAAGAGTGTTGGAGGTTGGTTGACCGCTCAAGTCAAGGAGGGGCCTCATCCGTCCAACCGAGAGCATGGCAGGCTGTCCTTATCCCTTCAGACGTGGCCCTCTTCGAGCCAAGGAGCTGGACACGGAGTATCTTTTGGAAAGATCGGAACATGACCCCTTCAACATCCCGAGGACAACCGGCTCATGTCCACTTGCTGGCCACGGTGGTCAAGGGCGTTGTTGCGGCGCAAAGACGGCCGGAGAGGACAGCCTATGGCAGGCCGACGTAAGATCGGCTGAACTTCATAATATATCTTCCCTGACCCCCAACCGCCATTAATGGCGGAAGTCAAGAGGTCTCAGCCGGAAAAATTCCTCAGACCGCATCGGGGGAGTGGCTGGCGAGGGCTTGAGCAGAGACCAACCAGGTTGAGGAGTAATCAGTGGTTGACCGCTGGCGTCGAGTGGCGGTGCGGCGACTGAGATGGTGGAACCAGCCGCGAGCGACGAGCAACTGTGTTGCAGGGGTTACGAGGTCTGGAGCGCTGCAACGAGCTCGTCTGGTGCAGGCTAACACCACGGAGGTTCCATGCCGGCGGCGACGGTGACGGCGGCTCCGGCGACCTAAAAAACGGATCTGGAAAATTCAGATTTTCACTTCCAGATTTCGTAGCTTCCTACATCTCCCAAGAAAAGATTTCTCTGTTCATGTCGAACCTTCCTCCTCCTGCTTGCTTTCCAGAATCCTTTTTTTTTGTAATCAGTCCATTTCGTATGAATCTTTGTAGAACAACTGAAGAACACATGTAATCTTTTTGGACAGATTCCCACAGACGGCGCCAGTGTTGAGTTTAATCCAACACGATATAGTAAATATATGTATGAACACTCAGTTTTTACGTGGAAACCCGAAAGGGAGAAAACCACGGGACTTTTTAGGCTAATGTCCAAGCCCTCTCTTTCTCATTAGGACTCTCCTCACCATTACATTGTACAAGCTCCCATTAATGGAGTATTAAGCTAAGTCTAAAAGAAGAAGGAAGATGGAGCTAAAAGAGGATCCCAAAACATGGAGGGAAGACTCATATTTATAGGGGAAAGAGGAAGGGTGCCCTCCACCCTAATGGGCCAAACGGGCCGATGCCGGGCCTAATGGCCAAAGTGGGCCAGAATGGGCCGAAATGGACCTAGCTGCTCGGGCTCCGTACTGGATAATGTCTTGGGCTCCTGAACAGTAATAGGCCGGGATAATATATCCCAACAATTTCTTTTCGGTTTTAGTTTTTTTTTTTACCGATTTTGGTTGTTCAGGATCGAAATATGATTATATCTCAATGTCACATTTGATTGTTGTCTTTTTGGGTTATTTTTTAAGATTGCTTTTTATATTATATGTAGTATTTATTTAATATAAAGCCTATTTTACGTGATTTGCACTGGGTCTCCTAATCTATTGAATCGACAATGATAAATAGTATTCTAACGTATAGTGTAAATTGTGTTATTATGTAGGATTTTTTACAAGAATATTACTAAAATAAAACTTACTTACATAAATATGACTGTTCATTACTACAATGTAAGTGTTGTGGTAACTTAGGTTCAAAACTTGAACATGAATTACTATAATTTCATTACTACTCTAGTAACTAATCATATTTTTGTAAATCATCTTTATTTTGGTCATATTTATGTAATTATTTCTATTATGTATAGTTTAATTTAGAATAGGATAAAAGATTTATTTACGTCGCGTCATATAGTTATAATTAATATGTTGGCTTCCTAACATTTTTATAAATAAAGATAAGTTATACTACGGGCACTATAATTCACAATGCACCTTACAGAGCTACACTCGTCCAGTTTCCGTTTTGAATTTGGCTATTCATTAGCCTTCCGTCTGTTCTTACTTCATGACAGTGCAATTATTTTTATTTTTTTTAGAAACTTAAATCATTTAATTTGATATTTGTTCTCTTCCATATAAGCCTAAAATGAATAACAGAAAATTGTTTTAATTACTGGTAGAGCCGGCCAAGATTTATTAGGGGCTATTTAGTTTTTGGTTGGGGGCAAATGTATAGAACGATTTTTCTTCCTAATGAAATATGGGGTATTAATACAGTTTTATTGGGGGCAGCTGCCCCCCCCCTCTCATCAACATGGATCCGCCCCTGAACCTACGACATCTTCTTTGGGAGATCTGATGCCATCAGATCACAAGGCATCTGACTGGTCACAGTTAATACTAGTGTTGGTGGTGGTAGCATCAATGGTAGTAGTGGTAGTAATAATTATAATAACTTAAATAATAATAAACTCGCAATTTGACCCAAAAAAATCACATCGGAACAAAAAGATCAAATACGATCTTATTTGATCACAAAGATTAAAATAAGATCTAAAAAGATCAAAAATAGATCAGCAAAATTCAAATGACATTAGATTTAGAACATTCCGATGTCAAACATCTTCTCTAGAGACGCATAAAAGCAGGGTTGAGCATAATTCGGTCTAGATCAGAAAATCGGATGACTCGGGAAATTAGTAACATACCAGTCTTATTCAAACATTTTCTTTGTGATTCCAATTCCGATCACGTCCATAACCCAAAGTACTTAATTAGAACATCTCCAATACTACAATGTGCACGGTGCATATGTGGCGTGCCACATAAATATTAGCAAAAAAATCATTTCTCTCCTCATTTGAATGATTTTATATAATTGTGGTATGTTTTTCTCCACAATGTCAAGAAGACCGTCTAGATGTTGACATTGTAGTTGACATTGCAGAGATAAACTTACCAAAATTGTATAAAATCATTCAAATAAGGATAAAAATAATTTATTTGTTAAAAATATGGTCATCTCTCATGTCACATGTGTACAATGCTCTTATGATGCTCTTATGATGTGACCAAAATCGTAATAATCCAGTGACAGAGGCGGAGCCAGGACACTGGGTCAGACTGTGCCGATACAAAGAATTTTTTTGGGAAAAATTTTACACGTTTTTTTTACACAAAAAATTTAGACTTTTTAAAATTTGGGCTAGTTCAGGGCCAAAGTTGGCTCTCCCCTAGCTCCGCCCCTAATCCAGTCTAGTCCATCTTGGATCAATCCTTGTGATTTCAGTCTAGTCTTCGATCCAATGCCTTTGTGATCATGGTTCGTGTCCAAACCACTTCCGGTCTGATCGTGTAGAGTCTTGGACCGGTGCTCACTCTACATAGGGAATGTTTGCAATTGCTTCTCCTTAAAAAAACACTTTTGGAGTGATTTGGAAAAAGCGATTAGTACTAAAAGTTGATAATATTTGAGAAAAAAGTGATTTTGAAAAGTAAATGTTGGTAGTGTTTGACAAATTAAAATAAGTGTTTTTTGTGTAATAGAAAAGGAAAAATCAATTTTCACACGAAAGTAGAGAAAAGTAAAATTTGAAATGTTTTAAAATAAGTATTTTTAAGTCAAAAACTGAGAAATATTTTTTTAAGCGGTTGCAAACCCCAACTCATAAAGTATCAAAAGACCCATTCCAACTTCCAAGTCAACGTGGTGGCTCAAGACTATTCCTTCCATGTCAACGTATTTCCACAGTTTACTTCCCGGTCAACCTCTGACCATGTCAAATTGTTTTTTACGTGTATGAGAATATTTTCTTTTTAATGCCGCCGGTCTCCATTATAATTATAAATGCCCCGCCATTTGAAGAACACTGAACACCCCCCAATATGGATCGCATAGTAATGTTTTCGCTGTCTTCTGTACTACTCATAACGCTATTGAGCGACGCGGCCATCCACGGCTGCGACGCAGTCGAATACACCGTCACCAACACGGCGGCGAACACCCCCGGCGGCGCCCTTTTCGACAGAGACATCGGAGAAGAATACACCAAACAGGCTCTTGACTCAGCCACCAACTTCATATGGCGGGTCTTCCAGCAGAACTCCCCCGCTGACCGGAAAGACGTCCAGAAAGTCAGCCTGTTCGTGGACGACGCGCTGAACAACGGGGTGGTGGCGTACGCGAGCAACGGCGAGATCCACGTCAGCGGCAGCTACCTCGGCGGGTACTCCGGCGACGTGAAGGCGGAGTTCACGGGAGTGCTGTACCACGAGATGACTCACATCTGGCAGTGGAACGGGGACGGCGCCGCTCCGGGGGGTTTGATAGAAGGGGTGGCCGATTTCGTGCGGCTGAGAGGCGGGTATGCGCCGAGCCACTGGAAGAAGGCCGGGGAAGGTGACCGGTGGGACGCCGGGTACGACGTGACGGCGCGGTTCCTGGATTACTTTAATGATCTGAAGAGTGGGTTCGTGGCTGAACTCAATGGGAAGATGAAAGATGGTTACAGTGACAGTTACTTCGTGGACATTGTGGGAAAATCCGTTGACCAACTCTGGACGGATTACAAGGCTAAATATAACACTGCTTGACTTGCACTATTTAAATTTAAGGAAATTGTCCAGCCAAAAAAAAATAAAAAAATTGTATTTCAATAATAATATATACGTACGGAGTAATAATAAGAGCCATGCGTGGTAATTGGTGAATACTCAATTATGGTGTAATATTGTCATATTTACAGCTTTGATAATTCGGAAGGAAAATGCTAAAGTTTGGTTCTCTTTGAAAAATATATTACTCACACTTTGTAATTTTTTTTAGTCCTATTTTAAAATTCTTTAATTTTTTTTATAAGAACACCTTTAATGAGCAGGTGGATTGTACTCTATAATAAATGGACACGTTACTAATGTGACAACACATTCCATAAGTATTGAATAGACACCCATTTAAAGTTTCTATCTCCAACGCCATTATGAGTTTTGGCTGTAAATATCTCCGATCATTCTATAATCAAAAACTTTTTATTTACTTTGATCCAAAAAAGAAGGAATCTCCCACCCCCGGAGACCCGACGCCCCGACCCGACATGGTAGATGAGAGGATGTAAATCACGGTAACTTAGTCGGCAGTGTAACAGTAGACCCATATGCCCGTGTGCGTCAGAGGAAACTTTTTATTTACTTTTTCTACAGAGAGGTTGTAGGTTTTTCTTCTTCTACCTTTCTTCTCCAACGCCAATTAGCCAAGTAGTGGTTGATGTTTTAGCTCTTATATACTATTGTATATAGCAGTGAAAAACTGAATTCAGAGGCGGCCTTGGGGGGAGGGGTTGGCCAGGCAAGTGCCTTGGGCCTCACATTCCAATAGGGCCTCAAAAAAATAACAAAATACCTATTAGTATTACCTATTAATCCCTTATTAATGATTATAATAATAATTAACAGATTAGTTATCTGGATTCTAGACCGTGGAGTCTAATTTACGCATACAGCTCCAACTTTGAAATCTCAAGTATCCTTCCTGATGCCGAACTGCCGATTTGCCGAGGACTTGAAGAAATCCTCTGTTCTGAACGAGTGAGCGGCTTATTCTTGATCCGTGGTGCACTGCTGGCCTGTTGCTGCTGGGTCTGCTGCTGGAGAAATCCTCTAATTTCTGTCCTAGTAATGAAATACATGTTCTATATTCTCTAAGGCATAAAGATGATGGCATAAATGAGTAAAACTTGTGGCTGTAAAAGGGCCAACCAACCAAGAGCTAAAGTAATAAAGGCTAAGATAACTATGTGGCACACAAGTAGAAAAGCAATAGAGGCATTTTTTTTAATCTTTTAAGGTCAGAACCTAATTACGTAGTGCTCGTAGTAGTTATATGTATTGCCGATTTCCCCTATTGGATATTAGTATATATTACAGTATTAGGTATTTAGATTAGACGAATAAGATGATATTTGATAAATACATTATACATGGAATGATTAATTTCATGATATTGGTAGTAGTAAAGTAGTTATTTTGTCTTTATTTTGTCATTGTATTTAGAAGGATACAAGTTTTAGGGTTTTTTTTGTTAATTATTTGTGATTTTTGTTACTTTGCATTATCTATGAATATTGTCATTAGGAGCGTCTTTAGTATGATGGGAAAGCGGAAATTTGACTCGGGGTCTACAAAAAGAAAGAATAAGTTGCGGAAAGATTTGGTTATACGTTTGTGATGTATTTTGCAAATGTTTGTACTATTGCCTTTAAAACTTATCCTTTTGAATATCAAAAACATTATATTGTACACTTTGAATACGTTTTTTCTATATGCTGTTTTTTTATTCAATTTATCTCTTTTCAATACTCCGTATGTTTTTTGCGGCGTAAGTTTTTTCTGTCTAGGAGCTCCGAAATGCTGAAGACGTCTCTGACTGAATTCAACCAGAGTTCTAGCAAACACATGAAAATGTGGCCTTATTGTCGGCGAGGTAGTCATGAACCAAACGATTGCTTTAAGCCAATTCAGCTCCATCATCGTCACTGATTTACCAGGGAATGATCTGAAATGAAACTGAAGCAATTGCAATGGAGGAGATCAGAAAATGGCCAGATCAACCTAACTGGCGATGAGCTCCCTAGGAGCGCAAATAATCGGACTAATGGTAGAGAATAAGATATTCAGAAGAGTGGCCTCACATTTGAGGCTTACCTCAGAGATGCCGGACCCCAACAGAGGACGACTAGAAGGAGAAACATGCATCTAATGCTGGTAGCTATGAACGGGACGATGCTGGTGAATTGCGGGGTGGACCAAGATTGGTGGACCAATAGCGTACGATGAAGGCAAGTGACCAATAGCGTACGAGTTTATCTAAATGCAAAGACACATCCCACTAAACCCCTGCATCGGCGGCTTTCTTTTGCGAAGGATATTACTCCACGTATATTAGTAAGGGTAAAGTAGTACTTTTATCCCCTTTTAGTCTCTTTTTTGGAAATTTAAAAAGAAGGTCACTTTTTTGTCCAATTGTTATTTATTAGTAATATTCATGTCCTAATCCCATTTTTCATTACACACACAAATCACTTTTTCACCAAATACTCTACCTTTGACATTTTCAAAATCATTATTATTTCATATACTAGTAATAGATACAATAGATATACTACTAGTATTAATTAGAGAGTTCGTATACCGTACAATCAGCTGCACGGTGATCATCGTACAACTCATGACATTTTTCGTAATTTAAGTGAAAACTATGGCTTACGTTAAATGAGCATTAACATACGTTTAGTGAGCATCAGATGTATTGTACTGAGTATTGAGAGCCTAATAATAAGCATTATGATATCAACTTCATATCGTATAATTCACTTTGTTTTTTTGAAATATTTACATTGAACTCGTATAAATTTAATGTAATATTATACTTTTGAATTATGCATGAATATGACAGTTTAAAATGAGTATTACACCAATAACAAATTAGCATACGCAATGAACGTTGAACAACTAAAAAAGCTCATTTGAAATTCTACGTGTATATATCTTACGGGGGTGTACTCAATCAGGATTCTATAAGATTTTAAAGGATTGAGATTTTAATGGAATTGGTTGGATTCCATGGAATCGAAAATTCTCCTCCTAGAATCTGTTGGAATCCATTGGAATTGAAAATCCCCCAACTTCTCTCAAGTTTACCTGCTTCGACGCGCTTCGACTGTTGCCTCTGCGGCTTGTGTTTTACTTGACTGCTTCTCTGGTTTGTCTCTAAACAAGCTTGACCCTTGCTTTTGCACATGTATTACGATATTAGAGATCGTATGGTTTAGATTAAAAAAGGAAATAATAAATATCAGTTTTCATCATCAACTTGACCCTTGCTTTTGCACTTGAAATGAACTGGAAGCCAAAGAAGAGAGGAGAATGATCGAACGAGGTGAAATCGTCACATGGAAATATACTACGTACTACTTTTCGCTTTGCTTCTCTTCTCGAGGGGAAATCCGTTGAAATCCGAAGGATATGCTGAGATTTTGGCCCTTTGTTTTTTTTGGTTTGAAATCCATAGAAATCCTTAGGAATCTAAGAGTAAAGAGTCCATGGACTTTTTGAGGAACGCCGGATTTTGCAGGATTCCACCAAACTCCATGTTGAGGACAGCTGATTTCTATGGATTTCTAACAATCCTTTAAAATACCATAGAATCCTAATTGAGGACACCCCCCTTAGATTTCTCGCAGCTAGTGGCAAACAAGCTACTAAACTCACCAAACCTGTGTTAGAAAAAGAGCAAAAAGACCCAAATATCTAGGGTTGATATCCCTTTCGTCGCGGTCAGTCGCGAAATCCACCTCCGTTGAGAGCTCCATCATCGCAGATCCGAGAGGCGAGCAGTCCGAGCCTCCGTTGAGAGCTCCATCATCGCACGAGCGAAGCGACACCAGTGGCGAGGAAGCTACGAGCCACGCGAGGTGGAGGAGAAGAAATCCAACCGTGTGAGCGAAGCTCCAAGGGACGATGAGCAGTGCATAGAGAACAAAAAGATCGATTGTACCATGCCTACGGTACAACCGATTGTACGATATATTTTACGACTAATTAGCACCTTCACATGTCTTAACTTTATTACCAAACCCCCCGTTAAAGAAAGGATTTTCTGGTTAGGGTTTACAAAGGAAATCAATATGAGCAGAAAGTACATCATTTTTATAATATGATGTATAATACATATTCAATCTAAATGATGAGGAATGTTCATGTCAGGCCGGCCTGACGGGCTGCTCTGTCCGTTTGGGCACCTTGCCGGTGTAATTTTTTGATGAAATTTTTTGAGCATGTTTCCCATCAAGTCTAGTTTGTCCATACCAAATTTCAGCTCAAAATTTGATTGGAAAGGCATTCAAATCATTTTTTCAGGTTGACTGCAGTTTTATATGTATATTTTGACGCAGTCAACTTCAAAAAATGATTTGAATGCCTTCCCGATCGAATTTTGAGCTGAAATTTGGTATGGACAAAATAAACTTGATGGGGAACATGCTCAAAAATTTTCATCAAAAAATTCCACCGGGAAGGTGCACAAATGGGCTCGGCCGGACGGAGCATCCCGTCAGGCCGGCCTGATGAGAAGAGCACTCTCTAAATGATAGCCTTTGATACTTAATTTGCTTCTTTTTCACAATTACATAATTTTCTTTAGCAAAATGTCATTATTATTATAATAATTGAGGAAATAAAAATAGAATCAAAAAATAAAAATTGAAATTGGAGTAAAACGTCTGAAAATTTCAAAATAGTTCTATACTTCTATCATGTTTTTATTTTCTAAATAGAAATAATTATTAAGCAAGATTTTCTCTATCTCTCTCTCTAGGGCGAGCCTCGCCGCTAGGGTTCTTCTCCCCTATCGGATATTCCGAGGAGCGGCGTCAAGGGGCGATTTGGTATGTCAGCGAACGGGAGGGTCGGACGATTGTTGCTGACGGCTTCAGGGTTCCGATTCCTGGACTGTAGCAAGGCGATCGAGTTCGGATCCTGTTTTGGCTAGTGGAAGAAGAAGGTTGGAGGGTTGCGGGTGCGAGCTTTCACAGACGTAGTCAAGGCTGCTTTCTTCAATGGATGATATTGTTAACAAATACAAAAATTTGGCATTAGGCGAGGACAGCGAGGAATTGATATTTGATGATGGAGGGGAAACGGTGTAGCCGGCGAGGAGAAGGTGTCGGTTCCGGTGGTGGGGATGATTCTCACGGATCGAAAGATCAAATTCCAGATTTTTCAAGGAGCTTATGGCATCTCTATGGAGACCGGTCAAAGGTCTGTCAATTAAGGAAACCAGAGAAAAGAGGTATATTTTTTCTTTTTATCATAATTTGGATATGAAGCGTGTGCTAGATGAAGGACCATGGGTGTTTGAGAGGAATTTGTTGATCCTTAAAGAGATTAGGCCTGAGGATATTCCATTAAAGATTAGTTTGAATGAGGTGGAGTTTTGGGTACAGGTTCATAATGTTGCTTATGGTTTTGTGAATTTAGGATCAACTAGGAGAATTGGTAACTTTATTTGAAAATTTATTAGTTTTGATGAAAGTCAATTCGATGAAAAATGGGAGGCGTATATGCGGATTAATGTCTCTATGGATATATGATGAAGGCGGGGTTGATCACCGGCGAAGTAAACGGGCTAGGAAGAGTTCAACAAGAGTTAAACGGACTATGTGGTAGATTAGGAGTAGGAGTGCTTCCGTATTAATTATTAAACTTTCAGTTCATGATATGTTTACGTATTAGTATTTATTTGGCAACTAGCATTGGAGTAGAATTTATGTTCCCAACCAGTAGATTAGTAGTTGATTGGGATTGAGTTTCTTTTTGTCATACATATGTATTTGGGGTATAAATAAACCTCTTGTTTTATCAATAAAATGGTTTTGAGAGTTTTCTAATTAATTTGGTCTTCTATCACCGTGAGATAGAATCCGTCTCTTGCAGTCTTGCACCATACATATACCAGCTTCATCAATATAAGGAAACCCCTGAATAAAGGAACAACTTTGAAGAAAGGGTATTGGCCATTGGGTTGATTTTAAGTATGAAAAACTTCCAGACTTTTGCTTTATTTGTGGGATCATTGGCCATTCTGATAAATTCTGTCCAGTAATGTATGAGGGAGATAACATTCTGTTAGATAAATCTTATGGAGTTCATCTTATAAGGGGGGGGGGGGGGGGGGGCTAGTCCTACAACATGCAATAAGTGGCCGGTTGAAGGGTCCTCAAGTACAGGAATAGGAGTACCGCAAAAAGTGATAGCCAGGGGAACAGGTGGTCAAGGATGGAAAGAGGCTACTACTGGAACTGCGATAAGCTCTATGAAGGAAGGAAATTCTGTGAGCCCTGATGAGACACTGGGAGAGCGAAAGAACGTAGAAGAATCTGGGAGGAGAAAGAATAGGAGGATCCAGGCGAGGAGAGTATGCCGCTTGATAGGACAAAACACGGATAGGAGGCAGGTCTAGACCAGTAGATCCGCTAGCATATCTGATGTTGCATGATAGGCCTTATGCTTGGATGGCAGTGATACACTCGAAGACGGAGAAGGATTTTACTTTATTGCTTTTTTTGTTTTCTTTAATCAGACTGTTTACTTTCATGTTGGTTTTATTTATGGTTGTAAGCCTCTTGCATTAGGGTTGGGGGACAGACAGTCTGCTGCATCTGTCTTTGACTCATGTAAGCTCATTATAGGATCAACGAGTTATATTGCTTCTCCGAAGGTGATCAACTTTAAGTCTGGTTCGATGACTGATAGTTGTCTGTGGTCCTTATATCACTTTAACCCCTTTCTGAAAGCTTATGCTGTGATATCAATGTAAGCCATCATCTTCCCCCAAAAATAGAAATAATTATTGTCATGTTTTGACAGCACCATAGTTTAAAAATGATAGTATTTCCACATATGACAACAATTACATCTATTTAGGAAATATAATCATGACAATTTTATTTTGACATATACAAATATTTTTACTCGGGCATTTTTCTAAAAAATCATGCGCAACATAATGTGAATAATAATAGGACTGAAAAATGAAATTCACAAAAACTCAAATATTATTTTTTTTTTTTTTTTTAAATTGGAATGTTAGCAGATCAGTGAAAATCAATACACCCATCGGCATGAGCAAGTGCCGCGTCAATCTCACGCTTCTGGATTCGACCACTGAAACTCACTCTCGTCTTAGAGCTTTCATGGCCAAAATTAGATCTGGGAAACGAGACTTGCATACTTACACCATTAGAGGCACGGATGAAGTTGTTAAAGGTATACGAATATCCATTCTTCGTATTTACATAGCGTGCTAACCCATAGCTGCTTTCAAAGTTTTTTTATTCGCGCGTTCAAAACTTTTTAATTTGATTTTTGGATTTGAATTAGAATTTTTTCGGAGCTATTCTAAATATTTTCTACCAATCTGAACCTTTTATCTGATTTAGTATAATTCTTTCCTCTCTGAATCTTTATTATGTGATGGTTGGTGGTCTGATATGAAGAATTCTTATGTTATCTCTTATAAAAATTATACTAGTATACGGTTCTAGTTACTCTCTTGTTTTTAATATATGTCAGCAATTTTCACTTTTTATATTTTGTTTTAAACTAAAACAAAAGGCTCCTGCTTGAATAAACCAGATTTTGTGGGAAGATGCTATGGGCTCAGAAAGTCTTACATTTTTGTTTATTGTTCTTTTCCTTTCCGTTCAGTAAAACAACTTTATTTAAAGACGAATATAGTAATTGAAATTAACATCGTAATTATAGGTACCCTTGCTATTACTATAGCCATCATATTAACAATAATATTTATTATTGTTATTACTATCGAAACAATAATAACTTGAACACTTATAGATAAGAAAAATATAATAATAAAGTACTAGAACAAAATATATCAAAACCAAATATATCATTTGTCAATGTAACAAAGTATATTTTCTTATGATTTATATAAATCATTTAAATTTAAGTTCACTAAATAATAAATAAACAAATGAATGCAATGATGAAAGAGTTATAATGATTTATAGTAAGGAATAATTATAAGAATAATAAGAATAAGTAGTCGTACCAATAAGAGACCGTTTGGTAACACTTAAATTGGTTGAATGAGTTGAATTTGTTGAAATTGATGAAATTCTAGTTGAAATTATGAATTTGCTGAATTATGAAAAAATTGGATTTAAAATATTACTACGATAAGAGACCGGAGTATTTTTTTATTTATATTGTTTTGGTTTAACATAATTATTAATATAGTGGTTGAAAAATCAAAAGTTGTGGTTGAGGTTTGAGTTAATAAAGTAAATGATGTGGGCCACATATTTGTGTCCGAAAATGGAAACAAAACACTTATTTTGAGACAATCCAGAAAAGAAAGTATGACAACATCACCGAAGGAGTATTTTTTTAATAAATGAAGAAAAGTTATATGAAAAAATAGTTAAATGATCATCTACAGTAACTCAAGTCAAAATTAACCTTGCACAATTCAGCGCGCGAAATCAAAGTTACATATTTGGTAATAAAGTTGACTGGTAAGACTTATAAGCTGAAAATAAGGGTTACCAAATGAGTTGTAAGAGTCATTACTCATACAACAACAACAAGACCCAAACTCTAATCACAAAAGAGTTTGGGGTTCGCTAACATGAAATAACAACAATAATAAAATAATAAGACCCCCCTATCGCACATTCACACTATCTTTTTGTCTCATCTTTCATTTCTTGTCTCATCTTTAATATGTGTGCTACTTTTCACGCCTTCAAAGTTAGTGGAGGTGGTAATATTTATTAACAATAACACATAACAATAATGATAAATGAGATAGCAAATTAGCACAGATTGATAATGATGACGGCGGCGCTGAAGAGGAGTAATCCATTCGCCCCACTATTGTTGTCCGATTTTATTCTTTCGTACCATTTGACCATATTTGGTAATATTTGTATGTTTAAATTCATTCATACTTAAAAAATTCAATACCATTTAACCACGTAGTTCCACTCTTCTTAATATATGTATCACTTTCTCATGTCCTAAAGGTAATGGGATGGAGGTAGTGATCGCTATAGTAACTGTATAGTAGTAACAGTAACATTAAAATATTTTAGGTAATAAGCTTCGTGAAATATAATACTATGTATAAAGTATATGTTAGGTTGTGTATGTTGTGATATTTTCCAGTTGTGTTTGATCTGATGTAAATGTTTCTAATATGATTTTATCTGAATCTATTATAATAGTAAACAATGAGAACAAGGTAAAGAAAATATGTTCTTATTAGGCTATTCATTATAATCCATAGTTATTTCTTAAGTGCTCTTCAGTAGCTTATTTTTCATACGATTTGAAGTCATAATATGGGCTGTATAATATATTAAAAAGTAATCATACTCATACTTCTGAACCCTTTGTTAATAGTTCGTAGAAACAGAAGAATGGTGGTGTAGTAGTGATTAGTGAAGCACTGAAGCCGTACTGTTAGAGGATGGCACATGTGTGAGTAGTGAGTACACACACATAAAAAACGTTTGTCCTACTTTAAAATTGACATACTCATAAGCCTATAAATGGAAAAGATTTCGCAAGTGGAAGGTCGGAGAACCAAGCCATAACTCGAAATCGGGAACCAATTCTAGTTACATTTTCTCCATTCTAGAATTGATAACCGGGGTTTTTGGAAGTAGAACCAAATCAGTCCTTGTCCAAGCCTAAATTGGACTACTCTTCTTTTGGCCTTTTGGATAAAAAACTGTCTTAATTTAATATCGGAGCCAGTTAGGTTTAAATGAGCAACATTCTAACTAAGAATCTTAATGAGCATACAAATATCAAGATTGGTCCACTGCACCGAGCCACTGGATAGGTTAAGTCAGGTTCACATAAGGTATGTCAGTTCCAAAAATAGAACTGTAGTAGCTGCTCCTTTGTTGCAATGTTTATCGTGATTGATGCCCTAGAAAAAGAAAAGAAATGGAAACAAAGCTAAATCTTTTTTTTTTGTTGATTGCAGCTTCTCTAAAGTCGAAATGTTGTATCTGATCTTTGTGCATCTTCAGCTTTTATAATTTAATTTATATGCATTCGGTTCTGCTTTTAAGAACACTTCTGTGTGAATATATACACACCTGGAATGACTGAAATGTCGTCGTTTTAAAATGATTTTGAAGCTGGAGACTGTGTGTTGATACGTCCTCCGCCAGAAAAGAGCAGTGCTCCTCCAGGTGTGGCACATGTGGAGGGAATTGAAGCCGATGATAGTGACAATGTGAAACTGCGAGTTAGGTGGTACAACCGCCCTGAGGACTCATGGGGAGGGCGGAGGGAGTTTCATGGGGCAAAAGAGCTATTCCTTTCAGATTGCTATGATCTCCAATGTGCCAATGCTATTGAAGGGAAGTGCACTGTTCACACCTTCAAGGCCTATGTTAATAAACTGCCAAATGTGGGGCCAAAGGATTTTTATTATCGGTTTGTGTATAAAGCTGCAACCGGTACCTTTGTACCCGACTCAGTCATAGTGTAAGTAAATGTGATTTTCTTTGTTTTGCATTAATTGCATTTAAAAGCTGTTTATTAACTACTTGCCTTGTGGTTTGGCCTTAAAAAGGTATTGCAAGTGTGAGCTTCCTTATAATCCAGATCAGTGGATGATACAATGTGAGGAGTGCAAGGACTGGTATAGAATCCTTATGAATACATCTGCTACTTTATTATTATGGGCCTGCTTTATGGAGCTGATTCCGATGAATCTCCTGTGCTTTCTGAAAAACAAAAACATTTTGCTAACATCCATTCCAGCCAACTATGTGGGTTGAAGGCACTTATAATGCTTATGGTAATTGGTAGTCTTCCCAACGGAGCCTATATTTATAAAATCTTGATAATGGTCTAATTTTTGTATTCTGGAATTGAGATAGAAAGCAAATAATAATAACTTAGAGGCTTTTCTTGTGATGCAGACCCTGTTAGGTAGTCAGATGTGGCTGAGTCTGCTTATATCACAGAATAAGTGTATTTTTCCCTACTTATTTGGCTGAAATAGAATTTACTCGAACACTTCCTGCCTTTTCCTTTCAGAACATTCATCAATAATCTCTTAGGCGTATCACATTGGTTTTAGGTTTCAAACATCTCCAGATTTTTAAATAATTAATTTGATCACTTGATAAACTATATTGGAAAAACTATTTATTAACATAGATTGTTTAATTTTGTTTACAAAGTTCAATTGTTTATTCGTCTCCTTTTCTCTGAACTTTGGTATCAAATATTTAGCTCTCTGTAATCCATATTCTCCATAGTCGTTATGTGTCTCAAGCATTAATAACCGTGCTTTCAATTTGATCCCAAATATGTTGGCTATCCACTTCTCCATTTAATATAAAAATTTGTTGTATTTTTTGCCCTTTAAAGGTACCATCCTTCATGTGTGGGCATGTCTGTTGAGCAGACAAAAGAACTTGATCAGTATGTTTGCTCTGATTGTGTATCTGATCAGAATGTGAATAACCTTGAGGACACAGAGTCTTCTTCTTCAACAATAACTAATTAACAGGTAGGCCTTTCTTTAATGCTTTTGGTCATCTGTCATATCAGGAGTAAAGTTGTCAAAATGGTGCATGCATACTAATTGTACACCTGAAGGATTATTGATCCCATTCAATGTGATATTTTATATGTTCTTTATTTAAGAAGTTGCACTCAGGGCCTTTTATGTAACTGGCTAAAGCCTAAAGTAGTAGATGTGGGAAAGAGTTGACGTTGCTGAAAAATAATTAAAATAGTATTTTTGTTAAAACAAATTTGAAATAATACAATGTACCAGGTAATATATAATTATATATGTAAATAGATAATGGTAGGAGTAAGGAAAAGGTGAGGGGAAAGGGTGTGAAAATTCAATTCACGATTGCCTTCTTTAATAAACAGGACATTAATGAAGAAAGACAATGATGCATTTTTGACATCCTTTCCGTGACCCCTTTCTCCCTATCATTTATCCATATGATGAAAATAGAGGTAAACATGTCATTTACTCGTTTATTTCAGCAACTTTATTCAAAAGGCCCCAAACTTTCTATGAACCTTTTTATTCCTTTGTAAAATATTATATCAATGGATTATTTTTCCAGCTCAACCAAATTCGAAATTTTTGGGATGTACTAAGTGAGTTTCTGGGATCTCCTATCAACCTCCAAACAGGAACTCAATCGTATTGTAGACCCAAATGGCCAAAATAATCTGAGGCTTTATTTCCACCTTCCAGTTCCTCCAAAATGAACCAGCTATGATCTCCTAATGTTTCACGTCGTGTATTATTTTAAGAGAAAAGGGGCAAATAAGGCCACGTACTAACCAAAAAAGGTCAAATAAGGCCTTATTTAAGAGGCACTGTCCGGCCATCGCCATTTGGGGTGGTTCCCGGTGGAATTTTTTGATGAAATTTTTTGAGCATCTTATTCAGTAAGTCTAGTTTACTCATATCAAATTTCAGTTAATACTTCAATCGGGAAGACATTCAAATGAATTCTTGAAGATAACTGCGCAGTTATCTTCAAGAATTCATTTGAATGCCTTCCCGATTGAATTGTTAGCTGAAATTTGGTATGAGTAAACTAGACTTAATGAATAAGATGGTCAAAAAAATTCATCAAAAAATTCCACCGAGAACCACCCCAAATGACGAAGGCCGGACAGAGCCTCATAAATAAGGCCTTCTTTGACCTTTTTTGGTTAGTACATGGCCTTATTTGCCCCTTTTCCCTTATTTTAATCAACTAATCATGTACAATATTCTAAAAGGCGCTAGGTGCTAGTCGGGCGCAAGCTCAGCGCTTAGGCAGGTGCCTAGACGTCTAGGCGTGGACTAGTTGGAGACATAGAAATGTTATTTTTATCAATATTTTTGCGTAAATATGATTTGTAATGTTGTGTTTGTGTGTGTAAAAAATACACACATACACATTAACATGCATGAACGATAGAATACATATATTATATTATTATTAAATAATAATAACACTTAAGATTATATATAAACATGTATAGTTTTTATTTTAATCTACAACTAATAACTTTTTTCATATGCGTTGTTAAGGTTGAAGGTACATATATCTTTTTCTTTTACACATGTACATATATCTGTGTTAGAATACTAAAATAAAAAAACAAAATAAAATGTTCAACGAATCTGGATGCCTAGACGGTTCATTAAGTGCTCTGCTCGGGCAACTAGGTGCCCTAGGCAGCCGACTAATTAACCTAGGCGCCAAATCAATTAGTCAGAGAGCCTAGACTAAAATTGGGGCGGCACCTGGCCACCGCCTAGCGCTTAGGCGAGGACTAGTCGGACGCCTAAAGCGATTTTTAGAAGAGTGATCATGTATAGTACGATTAGTGAAGAAGACTATGTTGTTTTAATGTTCAAATTGTTTGGCACATATCTAAGTGGTCTAAGATTTTGCTTGTTTGTGTATTGTGGTTATAATCACAGGTAGGATGAAGACTGGCCAAAGCTAATGAAGAATGGGGGATTCTTATTAGTTATACCTTGGGAGCGTGTTTTTTTTTTTAATTTTGTGTAGAGAAATGGAATGTCATATCTTCTCTACGTTAACCTGGTTAGTTATGGTCGCATGCATGAATTATGCTGTAATCCAGTAATTTTGTCATTTTCTTATTACTGCTCATTTATATCTTGGATATACAGTATAGTTCCTGCCTTTTAACATCTGGTACATTAATTGCAATCAGTTATAAATGACTCGGTTCTGGTCGGGTTAGTATCAGTAAGTCCGGTTTTGGGTTCTGGTTCGGTTCGGTTTTAAACTGGATTTGGTTTTGGGTTCTGGTTCGGTTCGGTTTTAAACTGGATTTTCAAGGTAATTTTTATTGTGGCTGAATAATGTACATCATCATGCCGTATTGCCATTGATAGAATTGGTGGAAAAGCTTATAGTAACGGCAAAATAATTCAAAAGAAATAATGATGTAATTTAACTGATCATGCGCATGATAAGTGGGCCTTTGTTCACGCTAAAAACGTTTTTGTTTTTACTTTTTTAAGGCCTAATTGGGTTTTCCATGTGTTGGTTCATACTTAATAATATGATTAATCCAACATTCCAACGCAGATTTCTTCAAGTGTATATATATCTCCATAGTTAAAGCTCCAAATCAAACTTTGTAATATCTAATTAATCAATTAATGCTTGATCATCATCATGATTATCTCGTCGCCTCTCTATCTGTTCCTACTCTCGATCTTTGTAACATTTGCCACACTGACATGCGTAGCAGAAGATCGAGAAATTTATTTAGTTTTAACAGAAGGCGATCCGGTTGCGTTTAATCAAGGCAACATGAATCTTGAACAAGTGAAACACATTGGATCCAGGAGGTAATTTAGTCCCGTGAAAATAAAATGAAGATTTCATCAATGTTTTTGAATTGGAAATTAATGTCCTTTCCTTATTTGGCTAGTACTCTTAATTGACAAATTTGATTATTTTTACCAGCGAAAGCTCGACGATTTATGCGAAAAAGTTGATGGAATCCCATGATCAACTGCTAGAGTCTTGTTTGGATAGGGGAAGTTACAATAAGATTTACAGCTTTAAACACATTGTAAATGGATTTGCAATCCACACTACTCCTTCTCAGGTAACTAATTAATTGCATCCCCAAAACAGTTGAGTTCTAGCCATAGAAAATCATGATGCATGTTAACAATAATACATGCAGATTAACCTTTTGATACATGACTATATTAAGTGTTCCACATCGACTAAAGATATTAAGAATTGGATTTCATCGCAAAAGTTTAACATGATACGAGTAATCAAATTCGTTATACATCAATTTGTATTGTTATATTTGGTGATACAAGATGAGTTAACATGTCCCACTAGATGGTGACTCATTTGAATATATCAAACCTCATGATTGCTCATATGAAGTAAATTGATTCTTATGTTTTATTAAAACAACCTTGCTTGTACACACTTTTTTGTACCCACCTGTACACTCGTCGGTGAACACACTATTAGACACGTGTTGTTACCTCTATGAATAGCATGTTCATCGAAGAGTGTACTGGTGGGTACAAAAAAGTTTGTACAATGTTTTTTGTTATTAAAGTTCAATGTTTCATCCTTTTTTTAGCATCCCTAGGGTTTACACATAAGTTTGAAATTGTTATATCTGAACAGTGAAATATGACATAACACACGTACCAATGAACCCCTTAATATGTGTTCAATAATTCTCACCTATTGAGGGCCCATTTTCTAAATTTGTTGGATTGAGAAAATTTTAATGTGCAGATTGACAAGGTGAAAGGAGCAGAAGGGGTGAGGTTAGTGGAAAAGGACAGAAGAGTAAAGAAAATGACAACTTATAGCCCACAGTTTCTGGGGATACAATCAGCATGGACTCAAGAAGGGGGAGACAAAAATGCTGGTGAAGGTGTTGTTATTGGATTTGTGGACACTGGAATCAACCCATCACACCCCAGCTTTGCTTATGATCCCACACACCCATTTTCTTCAGACATATCCCATTTTTCTGGGGATTGTGAGACAGGTCCTATGTTTCATGAATCTGCCTGCAATGGTAAAATTGTGTCTGCCAGGTTTTTCGCTGCAGGGGCACAAGCTGCTGCTAACCTTAATGCCTCATATGATATCCTATCTCCTTTTGATGCTGATGGCCATGGGAGGTAGTTTTCAGAAATAGTTTTCCCAGAGGTCATTTTGTTAAAAATATGAGGTCACTATAATATGCTTAAATTTTATTTTGGTTAAGATTATAAAAAAGTTATACTAGCATGTTTTGCATATCAACAACAACAATGTCTAAGCCTTGGTCTCAAAAGATTTTGGGATCGGCTAACATGAATCGATACAAGAAGCATAGCCAAAAGGAAAAGAAAGATAAGTTGTTTAATTTCTTAAAATACCCTCATTTGTACAATTGTACCTATGTGTATCTGTCTCGCTTCAATAGACCATGTCTGAGGTTTTGCATGAAGTGGTGTGATACAAAAACTGAGAGGGCCAAGGGAAAGTGGGGAACACATGGAAATCTTATACAGAATATATCTAAGAAAAGAAGGGGATGACTCATTTCTGAGGGAAAAAAGAACATAACCCAAACCAAACAAGAGAATGAAAGATTCGAATGACATTGGTCAATGCTGCATTCCTTAGACTGAAACAAGTCAGACTGCCCCCTTAGTTGAATATGGTTTTTCTTATCTAAAGATCTAAATTTCATGTTTGGGTTGATATCTAAAGTTTTAAATTTATATCTAAATTTCAGTTGGATATGGTGTTTCTTATCTAAACTCTGAAGTTCTAAATTTCATGTTTGGGTTGCTAACTTGCTATGTTCCAACCAAAGGCATAAAAGTGACCCAGAAAGTAATTTCTTATAAATTTTGCAGCCATGTGGCATCAACTGCTGCAGGAAATTCTGGAGTTCCAGTTGTGGTAGATGGATTTTACTACGGTAGAGCCACTGGAATGGCACCGCGTGCAAGGTTGGTTTTCATTGCACACCATTCACATATAAAAATACAAACCGCCATATATATGTCTAGAAATGTTTTTGTTTTTGGGTGGACATTTTAAAAAAGAATGATAAATTAACCTTAATTTCATTATTTATTATTATTCTTAAATTTTTACACAGCCATGAAATATAAAAAATCAAACAAACACACACTTAGTGTACTACTTCTCTTATAATTATAAGGATAGACATCATAGAAATATGTTAAAAACTTCGGATGTTTTTACTTGGACTGTTTTATGTCGCATACATGATCAAACTTAAACAAATCAAGTCAGACTTAAAACAGACCAATTCAGACTTTGACACTTGTAAAATACACAGAGACCATACCAGACCATTTAGACTAGACTTAAACATGCCAGACCAGACCATAAAATTTCAGTCCAATTAAAAACATCTTTAACCTTATCTTCATTTTTCATTATTTTTTTTCCTCGACAGGATTGCTGTTTATAAAGCCATATATCCAACAATAGGAGTTCTCTCAGATGTCCTAGCAGCTATTGACCAAGTAACGAATCAACTAAATTAGGAGCTCCCAGTTCATAATATTTCATTTTCCTCATTCTTTTGATTTCAATCACAACTATCTGCTAACCTACTTTGCAGGCAGCGTTAGACGGGGTGGATATCTTATCTCTGTCAATAGGTCCAGATGACCCACCAGAAGAAGCACTCACATTCTTGGCATTGTTTGAGATCTTCATGTTGGCAGCACACAAAGCTGGAGTTTTTGTTGTCCAAGCTGCTGGGAACCACGGCCCCAGTCCTTACAGTGTGATCTCCTTTAGCCCATGGACAGTGGGAGTTGCAGCCTGTGACACAGATAGGAGTTTCCCTGGATCTCTCATTCTTGGTGATGGTAAGAAAATCAGTGGTATAGGCTTGTCAGGTTTGTCCATCTCTCTTTTTTTTCATTGACTCATGTTTTCGATAGTACTAGCCTACTAGGCTATTCTACCAAAAAAGGTCAAAAGTTGATAAGGTGAATAGTCCAAGACATGGTCTTGCTTTGAGTTTGATGTGCTCTCTCTATCCTATTGAAATAATTTAAGATTTTATCCTTAAAGTTAACCTTGACCAACTTAGGACCTTATATATTATGTTAAGTGACCCCAGACCAGCCAAATATAAAGAAACAAACTCACGTATAGGGCCATAAAGACTTTTAGGATAGAAAATAAGGGTCTTAGGCCAAATTGAGTTTTAGGATAGAAGACCATGGTTTAACATGTTAATTTGAATATCTGTACTTGTGTGTGTGGCTGTGTGCTTTCTGAGTAGGATGGCTATACAAATAAATTTCTCAAATATGGAATGATTTGTTTTTTTTGTTAGCATCAACGTTCGATGGGGGAGTTCTTCAACATAAGCTGGTTTTGGCTAAGGATGCCATAAGGGCAAACAGAGTGTTCCCTATGACAGCAGAGTACATAGAGGAGTGTCAACATCCAGAGGCACTAAACCCTTTTTTGGTGGAAGGGAGTTTGGTGATCTGCAGCTTCTCAGCTGGTTTTTCTAATGGATCGTCAAGTCTAACATCAATCATAAAGACAGCAAAGGCTCTTCGGTTTGCAGGATTTGTATTTGTTGCTAATCCAACCTATGGTGATTTCATAGCTGAGCCTATCCCCTTCCATGTTCCCGGCATTCTGATCCCAAGAACCAGTGACACACAAGTACTGAGACATACTAATTCACCTTTTTTTTTCACCATTGTGCAATAAATCCCCATCTAGGGGATAGGCCTCAACTGTAGTGTCCCACATCCTAAATATGAATAAAACACATTTTTCGCTGCTATAATAAAGTGCATTGACCAGACGGAAGTGCCTATTCGTGAAGTGGGTGGGTGTCTATTCGTGGAGGGCTTGAATGGTCTCAGCTAAATATGAATGGACATTTCTCCTAATATGTATACGACAGTCCTCACTATTTGAGATCCCTTTCTTATTTTAGTTCTGTTTAGGCATTTGTCCCTAGTTTTTAGAACACAATTATATTCTATGCTAAATGTTAGATTTGATTATGTAGATTTTACACCATTTGCTTCATCTCCCTTCTTGACAGATCATATTGACCTACTATGAGAACCAGACAACAAGGGACACTCATGGATATGTAACCAAGTATAGCGGGCGTGCTGCCATAACCGAGGGAAGAATCGCTAGTTACTCAAACCGAGCTCCAGTTGTTAGCAGGTTTTCTTCAAGAGGTCCTGATTTCAGTGGTCAAAGTAGGAATCCAGCTGATGTGCTAAAGCCTAACCTTCTAGCTCCAGGGCACCAGATATGGGCAGCTTGGAGCCCCATGAGTGTTTCAGATCCCATTCTATCTGGTTAGTCCATGTTAGGATTCCACATTTAAACATTTACAAAAAGTTACACAAAAGTTCATGTGGCAGCACCATACTTAATCACCTCATATCACCTTTACACCAATGGTGATAATGAGAGCCGCATCATTCGTTTGTAGGTTTATTTGTGTTGGACTTGAAGCATTTTCTTTAAGAAATATAAGATTGTTCTGTTCTAACAAACCACAATCTTGCAAAACATGTAAAGTCACCATCATCTTGCTAAACATAAAGATACAAAATCACATATAAGGTCTTAAAGTTTCACCCTAAAAGGTAAAATTAACATCATGGGAAGAGTAAATCAAGACCTTGTAGGAGTTTGTATCTTTATGCTTACCAGATGTGAGGAAAACTTGTTTTACATGCCCCTCAAGATTGTTTCTCATTGGAACAGACAAATCCTGAAATTCTTGTGTTTTTTTTAAATCATAGGCTTGAAGTTCTATCCCAAAACGTTAATCTAGTAAGAGCAGTAGTCCAAAACCATATATTTGAGTTTGTATTTTTATGTTTCATCAGTGAGATGCCTTAACAGTATGTGTGTGTAAGTTAGGGCCTTGGTGTATGACCGGCTTATAACTCTAATCCAACCTTTTAGCACGATTTGGTTGACTAAGTTGAATGCCTCTAGTCCAATTACGACTTCTAGCATAAATAATTTGACGAATGCCATTTTAGGACACAATTTTGCACTTATCTCGGGGACGAGCATGGCTACACCACATGTTGCAGGCATAGCTGCGCTCATAAAGCAGAAATATCCTACGTGGACGCCGTCCATGATAGCTTCTGCATTGTCAACCACTGCCACCACACAAGACAATCTTGGAGACACCATAATGGCTCAAGGACTTGACCTCTACAGCTTACACCCCTCGGCGCCGTTCGGTTTTGGATCGGGTCTCGTTAACCCCTCCCGCGCACTCGATCCCGGTCTAGTCTTCTCAGCAGCCTTTGAAGACTACATCGGGTTTCTTTGCTCTCTTCCTAATAGTGATCCCATGGTAGTGAAGACTGCAACAGGGGGAGTCTGCAATCATATTTTTGAACATCCAACTGACTTGAACCTGCCTTCAGTGACCATTTCGGCCCTGGCTGGGTCACGGACGGTGCATCGGAAGGTCATGAACGTAGCCAGTATGCAAGAGAGCTACACATGTGTAGTAGTGCCGCCAAAAGGAGTGGCAGTTGATATAGAGCCAGCATGGTTCAGGATACTTCCACAGGGAACTCAAGATTTGGAGATTAAGTTCAATGTGACGAAGGCAGAGGGAAACTTTAGCTTTGGTGAAGTTATATGCACAGGGAGCTTGAATCATATCATGAGGATGCCCTTGTCTGTGTTGCCTATTTCTGCAGCTTTCAAAACCTAATAGAAAATCTTATCTTCTTTCTTGAGATACAAACCTCATTTTTATAAGGGGATTTTAAGTTTGCAATCCACTTTGTTATCCTAATTTGAGTTTCATCTCATTTTTTTAATCATTAACATTTGCACCCCAAATTTGAGAATATGTACCCTATGTTTTCTCCTGAATTGGAGCTTGTACCCCATTATTAACATATGATTTCTAATTTTGGACTGCAAATATTAATGATTTCAAAAGTGAGTTGCAATCAAACATGGATGAAAAGGTGGGGTGCAAACTCCAATCCCTCCTTTTTTACATTACAGAGACTATATTGTTTTGCTCAATGGCATAAAAACCTTAATTAGTTCCTAACATCAACAGAAATCTATCTATCAAGATTGGTTCCAGAGGGAAAAATCGTGATCTGGGTCCCCAATTAGACTTGAACTCAGTAGACAGCTAATGTGGGATGCTCAAAGCTATATGAATCTCCACCACCAATATATAACTCTGCAAGAAAATTGTTTTCATACATAGGCCTAATATTGAAATTCCAAATTCTTACAAAACGGGAAATCGGAAAATGATTACTACATATTTAATTACATATAATGTTCTCCTATAATGAAAGATTACTTATAAATCTGCAAAAGCTAGTAGTTAGTAAGGCGGGTTTATCGAACTGTGTTCTGGGGTCCTAAGTGGCACCCCAGATTCATCATTAGATCTTATTCTTACCAAACTGGCCCTTCGCACTAGCCGCACAAGTGCTCGAACAATTTCAGACATTGGAGGACGAAACTCGGGTTCAGGCTGTATAAAGGGAAATGGCAAATTTTATCAGAAACAAGTCCAAATCAACAAGTGGCACCGTTTTCTATTTAATTTTTAAACTAAGAAAATCTAAAGCCAGAACAAATTGATTCAAGTTCTTTGGGTTGGCAGATGTCAATATCAACATGCAAAGATTGCTAATTTTAGTTCATTATAGTATTATGCGCCTATATCATATATCCTCTAGAATCATAAAAAAACAGTGCTACTGAACAACCCATAACATTTTTGTTTTTGAAAACTACTGACGGAATAGTTTGCCTCTATATTTTCAGGCTTAAATGTGTTTCCCATATTGCAAATATGACATTTTTGTATGTCCCTGCAATTTACACAGTTTTATTTTTAGTCTCTTCATATCAATATCTGTTTTTAAACTGACTTGGCTTACTAACCCCAGTCTGGACTTCCTGCTTCTGTTTTATAAACGATATTTCATTTTTACATATCATTCAAACTTAGACCTCTCTAGCCCTCTTGAAACAAAGTATTAAGCATTTAAAGAAGACAGATGTTCAAAAGTCAACTAAAGTTATGTGGGTCACGTTAGTTTTAATTTGACAGGAAGGGGCTAATAAAACAAAGAGAATTACAGGGAAGAGTAATGTGAAATATATGAGAATGAATGTAGGAATATGTTAGAATGAATGTAGTAATGTGATATATATTAGAATGACTGTATGAATGTATCAGAGCCATTATATCTGAATCACCAGATCAGAGCTGATTGGTACTAACCGCAGCCCTGGTATTCAAGGAAGGGGCAGTTTTCCAGACCGGAAAATTGCAAATTTTGAAGCATTTGAGTAAGAATACTGAATCCCGTGACTATTTAACATGTCTTCAATAAGACCTTTTGCCATTTCTGGCTCCGAACTTTCGCATTCAATCTCATAACACCTCCCGAAATCATAATGCGTCTCGTCAAGCTCCAATTTCAATCCCTTCCATTCATACACACCTCTGAAATTCCTAAATCCACCCAAACAGACAAAGCCATGTTCCCCGATTGCGTACTCTGATTTAACTCTCTGTATGATCCTGCAATCATCAAGTAATAGTAGCCGCCAGGGTTCAGCTATGCACGCCCGTGCTATGATAGGATCAAGTTGCTCCTCGTCCTCCTCTACGCGGCTGATTCCATTGGAAAGAAAGGGTTTTGCCTTGAGGGAGATGACACATATAGAATCTAGGTCGTAAAAGCGGAGGCGAAGCACGGCTAGGTTGGAGGAGAGCTCAGCACTGGCACCATCGAAGAAGAAGTTTTCTTGGGCGTGTGTTTTGATATGGTGGGGATATAGAATGGTGGAGATCCGCTGGTGGGTAGCGGAGTCGGGTAACCTAAGCTTCACCTCGACTTCCATAATGGTGTGGAAGGAAGAAGCTTGTGCTCCCAGATGTTCAGTTCTTCGTGCTGGTTTGCCTGGTACGGTCTCTTTTCTAATCTATGGAGTCAGCTTTAAGAGCTGGAATGAATCCTAACCAGACCAAATAGGCGATATGCAGGCGAGCCGATCGGTGGTTTTCGATCGGAAATCTGGACGGCGAATAGATGTGACGCGCCGGCGTTATTGATACTCCATATTTGAGGTTCCCTTGTGTAAAATCTTTAAATGTTGTACTTTGTGCATTGGTTTAGGTCGATGAAATTGTACTATTTCATTTTCAAATGAGACAAATATAAAATAATTATAAAACATTTCACATAATTTATCGTTTCAAACTATATACTCCCCTTCCCTAAATGTTGTTCCAATTGCGAATTGTGAAAGTTGACTGACGATAAAGTTAAATGATCCATGTGAAAACTCGGATTATTTTTAGTAAATAAAATTTACATATTCAGAAACTACATTAAACCCGCTATAAAGCCTGCAAAAAATAATTCAACTTTTATAAAATTTTGATATAAAAAGTAAGAGTTTAAGAGTAATTTAAGTTGACTCTCGATAAGCGAAATGAAACTTCTTTTAGGGACAGAGGGGTATACATCATAATAGGTTTCACTAATATCATTGTCTAGGCATTGAATCATTGATTGGTGTTAGTCTATAAAGCACGTATACTTCCCTAGGGTAGCGTATCGGCGTATCCGATACATTCCCATATCCGATACTCTAGGATATCTGTACCGTACGTTCCCGGACCGTATCTGCAATTTTTAAAAGTTTCTGTTTTTTTTGTAATTTTTTGAAAGTTTCCGATACTCGTATCCTGACGGATACCCGTACCAACTTTTAAAAAAAAATCCGAAAATTTACTTAATAAAATTCTAAAAAAATGAAAATCTAAAACTACATTTTACTTGGTAATCAAATAATGGGCCTATATGGCTATATTCGAATTAAGTCATTAACTCATACTCCGAATTGGGTACTTGCACTTTTAATTTCAAGATTGTAGTTGTTAGACTTATTTCTCATTTTAAATTAATGACTTATTGAGTACATTTATATTTCGAGATACACTAGTGTATATGAAAAATATTCTGAATTTATTACTAAGTATCTTGAAAAAGGAAAATGCTTCAATGCAATGAATGGGTTGACATCATAGGATATTAGATGTATATGTGTGTGTGTGTATATATATTTTCAAAAAAATCTATTTTTAATATTTATAAATAGACCCCTATAACTTTTAATATTTGTAAATATACTCTCATAACTTTTAATATTTATAAATATGTCCCTGTATCCGTATTCTACTTTTTTTGGTTTTGACATATCCCCGTACCCGTTTCCGCATTTCCGCGTACCGGTATCGGTGATACATAGGTGTTAGTAATAGAAGTATCTATCATTATGAGAAACTCATACGCAAATATATAGAATTAGAGAGAAACCTAGGTTGATAGATACTTATGTTAGGGATTATTTTTTAGATTTAGAATTTGGGTTTGAAAAATTTAAAACACTATTATTATTTTTTGAACTTGCACTACAAAACAGTCAAATATAGAAAACTTTGTAATCATACAAACTGAACAACTAACGGAACTGGGATACCTTTTGATGTCCCGTTCCCGCCTATTTAAAATCGGTACGAGTAAAAAAGATCAAAACCTAAAGGAGAGTTTGCCATTGCTTTAAAAAAATTATTTTTCAGCTTTTAGCTTAAAAATTTGAAAAGAGTGTTTTCAAATGACAACTTCTGCTTAAATTAATCACTTAAAAGCTAAAAGCAGGTGGAAAGGTGCTTTAAACCGCTTTTCACTTTTGCTATTACACAAAAGTACTTATTTTACCAAACACTACCAATTTTTATTTTTTTCACAATCAATTTTTTCTCACATACTACCGACTTTTATTATTAAGGGGGTGTTTGGATCTGATTCTCAAAACTGATTCTGCTCCTTTAGAAAGCAGAAACAGAAGCTGGAGTGTTTGGGTGAAATTCCAAAAGCACTTCTGAAGTTCTAATTTACTCTTAGAATCAGTTTTTTTAGAAGCTGGGAGGTACCAGCTTCTGAAAACTGATTCTGCTTTTAAAAAAGAAGCAGAAGCAAAATCAGTTCCAAACACCCCCTAAGTACTTTCTCTAAAATCACTTTAAAAATCATTTTTTTAAAGTAGAAGCAATCGCAAATACTCCCTAAATAAAACAGGACAACATCCGGATTTGGGGCCACCCTACTTTTTAGTTTTTACCTTTTCCAAACATGTGAGTTTATACTCCGCATTTTACATTTACATTACATATGGATATATTAGTACTCCCTTCGTCCCCTTTTAAATGTCCCGGAAGAGGGTGACATGAGTTTTAAGA